AGAAGTTTTTGCATATCAATGAATATTAGCACTTCATAAACGTTATCTAATTAGCTGTCATAACTCTCCCCACTGCGAAGCAGGCAAATATTATTGTCTCTATTTTAGAGATAAGGAAACTACGGGTTATGTGACTTGACTACAGCTACAGAAGGTTAGGATTAGAAAGTAAAGGGCCTTACATGAAGTACCATATTTAGTGAAATAGGCCATGCTGATTGTCACATTGTTCAACTACCCCATTTTGCAGACACTGTCCCCAAAGTGGTGAATGAACTTACGGTCTTCTCAAAAAATGGGGGGCATGTGGGCACAGTTTTTATAGACCCTAAGGCCAGATCTGAAAGCCCATAGTGGGGATTGTGGATAACCCAGGATGTTTCTGAAAAATAAGTAAAAAACCCTAATGATCTGTTTACATTGCATCACATATTCAAGATTATATTTCAAAAGAAAATGGACTAGAAAATTTACTTGGTTTTAAACATGAAATCTGAAACTAACTCTTGCATTTGTAAGTCCCTGTTGGAGCTGGGAGTGTCCGATAACTAAAAGCTTTCTGGGTCCCAAAGGCTGGTTCTGTTTGAACTCCTTCACACCCAGCACTTAATTTTGACTCAAATATTTCCTTATAAATTTTTCAGATTCATCTTTGCAATTTGCTCTTCTTGACTGCAATTAATACTTTACACTTATATAGCAATTGCCTCCTAAGGATGTCAAAGTGAGTTACAAATATGAATTCATTAAGTCTCATAATACACTTGATAGGGATAATACCTATCTCACAGATGGGGAAACAAAGACACAGAAATGTTAAATGACTGGTCCCTTCTATGCTAGTGTCTTAGCATAGTGTCTTCTTATATGTGCATAACAGTATTTTGGAAAATGCTGTTTTGTGAATGATTTCTCTATTACTTATGTCTGGAGTGAAAGAAAAATGTTCAAAAAGAGAACCACAGTAGGAAAAGTTGCATAGATCTGGAAATTTTGGAAGAAATTATTCTATGTAATCCCATTTAAAAGATATCACATGTGTATATCACATTTTATATCTATATAGTGGCAGAAATGATACTGATCATGCTCTACCTTGCAACATACCTGGATCTTATCTTTGTTTTACTAATATATCTCTTTAAAAAACCGAAACAAAATCAAAGCCCCACCACCACCATTTTGGACACGTGAGTTCTTAAGGAACATCAGTTAATATATCAATGCTTTCTCATTCTTAGGCCATTTAACAGAATATTGAAAAAAACAGGTAATAAATCTCAGTTACCATCCTAATATGATTAAAGTTGAAGATTTTTAGAATCATAGAAACAAATGCATCTTTCATCAACAAACTAGTTACTTCCACTATTTATATAACATCATTTGATGGTCTTGCTAGAATCTCTCACACACACCACAACAGGTTACCATGACAACTTACATTTGAATTTCTATAAATTTTTATTTTTAGAGATCACAGTTTAGAAATCACAAATCATAAATATTAAGTGCTATCCTGTTAATCAAAATAAATAAAATGCCAGTTTTCTTCTTTGTCATATTTCAGAAAATTGAAATCGCTCAAATTACATAGAACAGTAATCCTAAAAAATAATAGTGATTATGAACGTTTAACACTAAGTATCTCTATAATCTGAGATAAGTGGTTCATGAGTCAATAAGATAGACTACAATGCAAAGTGTGAAATCCTGGCCTCACTGAAGTCAATGGGAGTTTTGCAACTGACTTCAGTGGAGCCAGGATTGCACCTAAAATGTTTATAGATTTACACATCATTTATTTGAGTTTACACAAACTATTATTGCATTTATCAGAAGCGTCAGAAAGCTATCTTTCTTTCTGGAAAGATGGTGTCTAAATTGGCAATAACATTTCAATTCCAGTGCCATCACTTAGAGTCTTACACTATGTCTACATTGCCAAAGGGGAAAAAAAGCATCAGTCAGTCTCTGAGCCCAGATCAACTGACTCAGGCTCATGGGACTCACATTATGGGGAAGATGTACCTGCTTGGACTCTGATACCTTCTCCCCTCACTGAGTTTCAAAGCCCAGGCTCCAGCCCAAGTGGGAACCTCTACATGACTATTTTTAGCCCATAGCACTAGTCCTGTGGACAATAGCCTTAGTTCACCCAAGCTCTGAGACTCACTGCCATGAGTGTTCTGGTTTTTGTTGTTTTGTTTTCAATCTTGATGTACCTAGAGAATCATCATTTAAGACCAGAAAGAATCAATAGATCATCTAGTCTGATCTCCTATATATCACAGGCCATCAATACCACTCAGCACCCACATACTAAACCCAATAACAGAAATTAGATCAAAATATTACAACCCACAGGAGACTAGACTATTATAAACCACAGACAGAGAATATATGGGGTCAAGGTGTACCAGTGCCTGAGGTCCCCAAAGTGGCAGGGAGGTGATTAAATGAAATTGTTCATTAGGTGTTCACTAGCACTTAGACACAAAATTATTTTCTTCTCTGAAAGTCCCTAGCAATTCACAAAGTGGCCTTCTTAGCAGAAAGGTCACCATAAACAGTAGCAGCCTTGAGGAAAAGCAAAACACTGAATTTAGGCAATGTAGTTATAGCCCTAGCTATGGGCTTATTCACTTCAGTATTAAGCAGCCAGTCAGAAATCAAGAGTTCAAAACTAGAAATCAAGAGTTAAATCTACTGAGAAGTAAATGCAGTCACTTCTATAATATTAATATTAACAGATTACAATGTTATGTTACAATATAAATACACAGTTCATTTTAAGACTCGACAAATCCACTAATATCAACCAAACAACTAATGATAAAAGTATTCTGGTCCTCAGCATTGAAAGATTATTGAGGAATTCAAGCGGATCAAAAACATGGGAAGGAACTATGGTACTATGACTCAATTATAGCCAGCATTTGCCTTTCCACGTTTTCTCTTGGTGTCTTCCATTTAACCTTTACTTCATATTTGTCAGCTCTCTGGCAAAGAATGTTGGAAAGTCTCCAAAAAAAACAAACAAACCCACTATAGATTCAATGCACAGTTAAAAGGAAAATGTAGGTAATGAATATTCTGAAGATGTTTTCCAATAGCATTTTGATGAAGACGGGTATTAGTCTGACATTTAGAGCACATTCTACTTTTAAAATAATATTGCTGAAATATTATAAATGGGTGTGTGTATGTCCCATTAGTAAGCAACAATAGGAATTTATTCCATTATCATTAATCCTCTATTATATTTTATTTCAGTATTATCTGAAGCCAGTGGCACAGACAAAGCGAACTGCTGCACAAGCTGTGATTCCTTGGGAATGCTACCAATCAGTGAAGAACAGGAGTGACTGGGGAGCCTCAGAGCAGCTGGGAGAAATGCACCTCCTGCCTGGATAGTTTCTCCTCTCACTAAAGATCCAGTCCTACCCCCATTTGAGTCAGTAGGCATTAACCCATTAACTTCAATGGGAGCTGGATCAGGCCCTAAAATATGATTCAGCAACATACTTATCCACATGCTTCATTTTACAAAGGTGAGTAATGCTATTGAAGTCAATAGGACTACTCCCATGGTTAAGTTAAACATAGTTGTAAGTATTTGCAGAATGAGGCCCAAGTTTGAACCCTTCAGAAGAAATCCTGATACATATGTTGCAAAACACGTATTCCACTTGCATAAAACAAAGCCACTTGTAGTTACAACAAACACAAAAGGAAGAAATTGTTTGGGGAAGGTTGTTGTGGAAGGGGGGGTTAAAAAAATTAAACCTGGGAAAACCTCCATTTCTTTTTCTTCAAAAACTGCACCTGATTTCCTTACCAGAAGGAACTCCAGATACTTAATTAGGCCCAAAGCCACAGGTCAGACAGTGAATCCACATGGTGATTGAATAAGAAACAAAAATATGAGACTAAAATCAGGGTCTCACTCAAAAACAGAAAATAATCTGTGGTAAAATCCTAACTTCCAGTCTAAATCAAGATAATTTAGTAAAATCACTTACTGCCGCAGAATTATGTCCTGGATCACAGAATGAGTAAGGGTCACCCTCAGAAATCAAGGACTAATCCAAGGACTAGAGTGAATCAGGATCACCCTCTGTCACACATACGTTAAACTATGTTCACGCTCAGATCCAGACACCAAAGCAAGGAGAGAACTAAGGACACCCTCACAAATCACAGGGAGCAAGTCACCCTCACTTCACTATTAACACAGTGTCACCCACAAAATCAAAGCCTGAGCAGGGTGAGTCAGAGTCACTCTCTAGCAGGGTCCAGATCCTGCTATTCTTGTGGGTATCTATATACAGCCTTTGGTCAACTCATCCCCACACCAATCCCTCTAGGGGACCCGGGACAGATTTAGGGTCACATACACCCCAACTCACACACCAGAAGTCAGTGGTACCCCCATGCACAAAACCTCTCAGGGGTCCAGTGACTGAGGCAGGAGTACCCCCTCACACACATACACACACACACACCTCAGGAGACCAGTGACTGAGGCAGGGTTGCCCCCCCCCATACACCCTTCATCCCAGTGGACCAGGCACTGAGTTAGAGTCCACACATTCACACCCCACCCCAGGGCCTGAACCAGGGTTCCCCCACACACCCCCAGGGAGACCAGAAACTGAGCAGGTGTCACCCCTCCTCCACATACACAAACACCCTGGAGGACCAAGGGCTGACTTAGGGGAACCAAGGGCTGATTCGGTCCCTCCAGGATTGGCCTGGAGTCTCCAGGAATTAAAGATTAATCTTGAATTAAAGATTATGTCAGGTGCTGAAACCTCCAGGAATCCATCCCACCAAAATTGGCAACCCTCCCCAACACACGGGGGGAGGGGCTGAGTCAGGTCACCCCCAGGGGGAAAGGAGCTGAGGCAGGGTCACGTCCCCACGCCCCCCGGGGCTCAGGGGCTGAGGCAGGACCCCTACTCAGCGCCTGCGCGGGGCCGGGGTCGCGCTCTCACCCTGGCGGCCCGGGAGGAGTAGGGGTCCTCGAAGAGCGCCCACACCCGGGGCTGCAGCCGTCTCCAGCGCCCGCCCACGCCGTCGGGGGGCCCGGCGGCCGCCCCCACGTCCTCGATGCCCAGCCTCTTGGCGGCCAGGTCGTCGTCGTCGCCGTCGAGGGGCGGCTCGCCGTTGATGAGGTCGGGGGTCTCGAAGATGTCGAGCGCCTCCTCGGCGTCGCGGTGCTGGCGGTAGGTCATCCAGCAGCAGGGCTCCACGTCGGTCTCGTCGATGCCCCAGAAGGCGAGCTCCTCCTCGAAGAGCGGCCCGCACACGTCGGCCGGGCAGTGCAGCTTGCCCGTGCGGTAGTAGTTGAGCACATAGGCGAAGACCCCCGGGTGCCGGTCGAAGAAGAACTCGCTGGGGCCGCCGCTGCTGGCCTCCGGGCAGCCGCCCGGCACCTGCGGGGGCAGGTTGGGGGGAGGCGGTGGCGGGGGAGCCGGCGGCGGCGGCTGCTCTTCCCCGCCCGACGACTCGCTCTGGGACTCGCAGGCGAGCAGGGCCAGCCGGGTCCCCGGCAGGGTCTTCAGCGTGCTCCGGTAGGTCTCGTGCCGGGTGCCCCCCACGTTGAGGATCACCCTCTCGTTATCCTCGAGCTTGCCCATCTCTCTGGGTCAGACATGACTGGGGGGACAGACAGACAGACCCGTCAGCGTGAGACCAGCAGGGACTGGAGGAAGATGGGAAATGGGAGGGGTGATAGGGAGCCTGATTCTCTTGAGGTCACTTTCTACCTCCTACCCCCTTACACGAAAATGCCCCACTGCAGCCCACATCTTCCCTGCTCTTTACCTTCCTCCCATCTCCTGTGCCCACCACCTAGGTCGACCCTTCCTCTCTTCCCCAACTTGCCGCCTTTCCCTCCACCACTATGAGCCAAATCTCCAGAACTGCCTTTTCTATCTTCCCAAATCCCCCTCCAATAGGACCTGCCTTCCCCTGACATCCCAGGGTCTCCGCCTCGTTTTCCCACTATTCCTCTCCTCGCTTTCGTACAATAGCAGCTGTTAGAGCTTCTCTTCGCACCAGCGACTGGAAAGTTGGTTTGCAAACGACCCTGAAACAAACCTCGTAGTCCTTTCGCTGTATCCTTGACGAATTCAAAGCACCGCTGCTCCCACACCCCCTTCTACAAACCAGTCTTTGCCTCCCCTGCTTTCAGGCGGCTTTTTCCCCCCCTCAGTGATCTGGACTCTTCCTCTGCACCTCTTCCTTCCCCCAATATAGACAGAGAGAAAGCAGAGGGAAACCAAACAACCCTGCTTCTCCTTGATACGGATCAGTCACCTTCCCCACCCCTTTTTCATCTCTGTTTCTGGGGTTCTTGGATCAAGCTCTCTGAATAAAAGCAAGCGGTTAAATTATTTGCTATTTGTCCATCTTTTATTATATTAGGGACTTAGAAGAGAAGGTTTGGTCTCTAGGAGGAAAAACCAAACCTCAAAACAGCTCAGGCAGCAGGCACACCCTTATAGGAGCCGTTAGCGTGTAGCTCTGGCTGCTACTTTCTCAAAGCACTAACCTCCCCACGAATTTTACCTATACATTCATATTTAGGAAGACCAGACGGAATCACAGCCAGGTTGGCGTGGATTTTCCCACGGTATCCCCCCTACCCTCCGGCTTCTCAAATACCTTAATGAGGAGAGAGAGAGAGGCTCCTCTTCATATACCAGACGCTGTTTTCTTCGCAGCTGTTGGCGGATCCTCCGCCAACCTGTGTGTGTCTCTGTCAGGCGAGAACTACTTGTTGTTTTTCTCCCCATGTTCAGGTGGCTATTCCACCATCCTTGGTGCTGAACTGCGAAAGGAATAAAAGCAGCCCCCACCGCCTGCTGGTAGATCTCGCCTCCCTCATTTTGCACAATACATGCAATCTTTCAACATCGGAATGAAGAGTAACCATCACAGAGAGAAAGCAAAACCATGGATGGCTGGTCAGAGCACCTAAGGGACTGGGTGCTGGCTGCTGTAATCCGAGCGGCTGGTTGGGGAGACTCTAATCTGAAGGTGAAAATGCAACTCAGGTTTGTCTTTCAAGCGCAGTCCCTCCCGTAAGGAGGGTGGCGTGGGAGCTGTCCCTTCAGCACCACTCTCCAGCAAACTCCATCGCGCACCGCCCTCTCCGAGGATGCGGGGCTGGGGGAGACAGCAGCAAATACACATACCGCCTTTAGCCGAAAAACGCAACACCGCCCCCGCTTCTGAGACACTTAATTGTTCCCTTAAGGACAGCAACAGGGAGGAAGCGGGGCTGGCAGTGGTTGTTTATCTGAGAGATGCAGGGAAAACAGCACCAAGCTACAGGTGACCTCAGAGAGGAGTTCGCCGGCTCTCCAAGGGAGAGCCGCGGTACCCAGCAGGCACAACTGGGCTGTGCCTAGGGCCCCTGGCTTTCGGGCACAGCGCGCCAGCAGCCTCTCTCCATGGGCGGCAGAAGGCATGCACGTGGCGCGCAGCGGTTGCAGCAGGGCTGGATCAGTCCACGTCACTGGAGCCCCTCGCAGATCAGCCCAAGCAAACACCTGCGGCTGTCGGAGCCCGCTGTCTCTGCTTCCCTTCAGGCGCACAGGCGGCGGCTGCATCTCTTCGGGCAGCTAGGAAAGGAGAGCCGCACCTTGTTTTCATGCAGCTGGTGAAGGGAGGATTTGGAACAGGAAGCTTAGGGAGAGGCCCCACAAATCATCCCAGCAAAGTGATCACCCCCGCCAACACCACCTGGCAACCCCAACAGAGCCCTGTGACAGGGCATCAGGTTTCTAAGGCCTGCCTCCCTCCCTAGCCCACTAGTGCTTCTTGTTTTCAAGCATGCTGGGGGCTGGTCAAGGGCAGAGATACCTCCGGCCCCAGCAGAGGATTGTGGGAGGCGAGAAGCCGCTCCTGCGGCCTCCTCAATAGAGGGGTTTCCTTCCACCTCAGCAGAGGCCTGGGGTCGTCACCTGGGCACCTCATGAAGGCTCGACTGGAGTAGCAGTAACTGAGACCACACACATCCTTGCCAATAGCAGATACAACTACTTGATTACAACTCCTAAAAGCCAAAATCTGTATTATGTACCTAGTTGTAATTCCGATGTAACATTACTGGAAACTGATTGTTGCAACCGAAAAGAGAATTTAGCCCAATATGTTTTATACTTGCTATTTTTTGGATGGAGATTTACATTTTAGACCTTTCAGAGGCATCTTTTCTTGAACACAGCATATGAAAACAGACCTGCGTTACTAGAATGTACAGACATGATCTCAGGTGTGCAGTGCAAAAAGGCTTTCTTGTTTGAAATGGTAAATAGAGATGAGAAACACTACATTCATCTGTTGGATGCAGCTTACAGCTGTAATACCTTTTTGAAGCTCCCTTCCCCCCTCCCTCATGGTAGGAAACCCTGAGCTGGGACACTAAAGACAGAGCCAGCTTGGAGTCACAGGGCTTCTACTGATCCACTAGGATGCGTGCAATCTCATATGCAGGGTCTATTCATAAGACAACCATCTCTCCAACAGAAACCAGAGACAGTACCCCACAAACCAAACTTTGGACATTGCTAATCCTACAGTCCATTCCCATTAGCTTTGCTGCCGGATAGGGTAATATGTCTATTTTTTTAAAATGGTTTTATTGCTTGGGAAAAATAGAAAATATTTCAGAGTGAGGGAAAATCAGTCTACATTATAATGGAAAGCTTTAGTCAAGTCTAAAAAAAGTTGTGCAGTGCACCAGTTTCTAAATATAATACAATTAATTTCTTTTGGTATCATTCCTTCTTGTACTTTTAGCAAGTGATAGATTTCACAACAAAATACAGAATGAAATCATAAGAGATGATTTCAAAGCCCAGAAGAAGGGAACACTAACAAAATAATGGAATAAATATAGCAATATTCTTCCTGATTGGCAACACTATTTTACTCTCCCCCACAAATGATCACATTTTACTTTCTTCTGTAGAACGTGAAAGAGGCCCAATCCTGTATTTTTGTACCCTTAAAATTCCCACAGAAGTGGGAGTGTTTAAGGACTAGGTAAACAACAGCTTCAGGTTTGGGACCAAAGTGATTCTTAACAACAAAAATATAGTTAAAATAGAAAAATATTTCCACTCATACCAACAGCTACATAGATTCATGTTAAATATTCATTGGAAAGGTGTTTCTGTAGTTGAAGATTTGGAAATTCAGGATAGCTTGCAGGAACTGAATGAATCTCAGCAAAGTACAAAAAAATCCCCTTAGGATAGATATTTTGAAAGGAAAGCAGATCGTGCATTATCAAACAGAAAAAGTTGACAAAGTCATAGAACTGTACTTGAAGAGATTGCTTTCTGGAAATTGGAAGCCAAATTAGAGTTCCACTTAACAGAAAAGGATTCCTATTGCAAATTTAAGTATCATGATGCAGACTCAGTAGAACTACCAACTGTGAATCAATACAAGAAAGGGCAAACAGGAGAAAAGAAAAAAGTACCCTTATCTGAAATTATGATCTATAGAAAAGAAGAAAAGGTTTCACATGGAGGTACAAACCCTTATTTCTACTAAATTTTCTAATGCAAAGCAGCATTTGTCCAATTTCACAGATGCTATAGCAAACAGGAAGAATGACAGAAAATATAGTAATAGTTGAAAATAGTATGATGTAATCAAAAATGTAATCTTAAATCAGTTTAAACTAGGGTGCAATGGATACCACTAATGATTTTAAATACAAGTTTAATCATTGTTTCAATCAAGTTTTGAAATGTTTCTTCCTCTCCATATTTCTCATGATCATTTGTGTGTGTGTATATATAATTACATCTTTTGATCTGTTACAGATTTGGCAGAATTCATTAGACCATAAATCAATATTGTTATTGTTGTGAATCTCAGTCTACAATAATTAACATTA